CCATTCCTGAAGGCTTCTGCGTGCAGAAGGTCTATTCATGACCAGTTCGTGCAAGCGAGGGAAGAGCTGATGGTCTTAAGCGAGCGTGGAAACACCAGTACCTCTGATTTACCCCTTAACTCCTGGGGTTTTTTTTTCATGGATTTGTATCGAATGTGCTGTCCCTACGTTTCCGATGCACGTTGCTCTCTGGTTCTGTGCTCTCCGGCCATTTGAAGCGGCCGAGCGGTGCCGCAGATGCCATCGATCGCTGTAAGACTTGCTCTGTCATTCATTCAGCAACACCATGCGAGCTGCCGGCAGCCCGTCGTAACCTGAACTGGCTGAAGCAGTGGATTATAGTAGCGCAGCGTGACTGTAATTTGCACGAAGACTGTGCTCGACCCCAGCTGGATACCCGGAGCTTTCCCTGCTGCGTCGTGGTGCCCTTTCTGCTGTCAGCAGCAGCTCAGTTTTACCTGTTTGCATGGGGTTGATGTTTTATAATACAGTCAGAAAGCCACAGATTTGAACTCTGATGTTCCCCTTCTCTATTTGCAGTCTAAACTGATTTTAGCCCTCCCCTTACCGGTACAGGCTGCTTGTTTTCCTCGCTCCCTGACCCAAACGACATCATGACACACCAAACGGTTCCTAGATGCAGACTGGTGTACCCGTGGATGGGTGTAGCCAGCAGTCAGCCGGCGCGGCCGTCCAAAGGAATTGCTGAGCTGGGAAGATAAATCTATTGTGCGTCTCGTGTGTTTTATGACCGTGCCGTCGCCTCATCGGCTGTGAAGGGAAGCGACGGTGAAAGGCCTGTGCGGGATTTCAACGCTTCGGGGCTCTGCAGGAGCCTGGGCGATAGAACAAATCTGTTAAATGAGCCTTGGATAAAATAGTATCGTAATGCCTCCACCTCTGTCCCCGTATTGGTGTTTAATGGGTATGAAATCAGATTGAGAAGGTACTTAAGACCTCTTGTATCTTCTGCTGGTACCTAAATTCGCTCCAGGGGGATGCTGGCGATTTGGGCAGGCGACCTGTTGAAAGGACGTGTGCTCACTGGGTGAGCTATTCTGAGGAGATAGAGCAAGAAAACACTTTGAAGTTTCCTTAAATGGAGGAAGGAAATCAGCTGACATCTGGACTGAAGAATGTAGCTTCTGCAGCTTTTACTGTAACTTCATCCCTCCAGTTGATACTTATTTTGTTTTGAAATCCCAGCTGGCTTCCTCGTGGCTCAGCTCCAGCGTGGACCTTGGCAGTTCTTGTCCTACCATCTGGCAGAGCTGGTGAGCCAAGGTTTTGGAAGATGAGGCAGGGTTTTGGAAGATGTTCCAGGGGGAATAAAACCACAGGTTAGAGCAAAGAGTCAAACCAGAACCCTCACGTAGAGCTCCGTGAAATTCAGTTTAACTGAGGAGATCACGCTGGCTGGTGGTGATGCACTTGGTGTGATAGTCCCACGTTGCCTGTGCTTAATCATTAACGTTTGAACTGACACCATAAAAGCCACCTGTACTTTCACTTGTGCAGTTCCTCAGCCTTGGTAGGGCTCATGGCTCTCGAGTAGTGTTTTAACACAGGGATCTCTGCTGTAAGGGTCTCTTCTTGCTTCAGCCTGTCTGGAAAAAGTGGAGGGGCCTTGTAGGACACAAGGGATTTGGAGCCCGTATGGTGCTGGAAGGAGCAGCTGATGGATCATGGAGAGGTTTTGTGGGAAGTACTGCAGTGAACTCCGTTCAGGATCTGTGTGGTGACCACGAAACCTTGTGGGCACTGTGTCTGAAATCGCCCACGACTTCAAGGATTGAACTCGGAGCGGCCCATTCGTGCCACGTGCCAGGCAGGCAGCTTGAGCTTTGCTCTCCAGGGCCTTGGCTGAGTGACCGTGGCATCCTGGTGGGTAAGGGGCTGGCTAGCAGTGCCTTGCTCTCCCAGCAGAGAAGATTTGCCCGTTGCCACCTGGAAGCGCAAGAACAGCAAGTCCTCACGCCACCGATCCCAGCCAGCTATCCGCACACCTACAGATCTCAAGATGCTTCAGAACAAAATACCCCCTCCTGCAAGCTGCTTTTGATGTGGATTGGTCTTTGGCCGGTGAAGTTCAAGATGGTTTTAAAAGCTTCCTTTACACCGAGGATTTACCCGAGTTAGGATTTGCAAGTCACGTAAATCATATATGGTGGGAGACTTTTTGTGTTATAACTGGTTTGCCCGAGTGCGCTGACAGCTACCCGTATTGGCTGGCATTGCCGTAACGTAGTTTGAAATAAACCTCCCACGCACTGCAGCAGGGGGGAGGTGACACGCAAGGAGAGCCCTGAGCGTTCTGCAGGGCAAGATGCACGTGGAGGAAACACGGAGGATCTCGCAGAGCTGTGGACCTCTGCCAGCAGGGCCAAGTTGCCGGTTTTCTTGAACGAACGGCTCCTCTGCTCCTGGGTGAGCAAATGTGCAGCGGTGGCATCTCTCAACGGCTGGATGAGAGGTTTTACAGGCTGAATGAAAGATAATATGAGATGTGGCCAGGACCTACAAATTAGATAATGTTGATGGTGAACTCGATTGCAGATGTAACTCTCTATTTGGGGAGAGTTGAGGCAGAGCAGGAAAGATCAGTAAAACCTCCACGATAAGCAGTCCTAAGCGTGCAAGTATTCAAGTTTTTGTTAAGCTCTTTGGCTTGCAAATGCCGGAGCCGGTGACCGGGTTAGTTGCAAAGTTGTGTTTTAATGGGGATTTAGCTGTGCAAGCCCTTCGCTTGCTCTGCAAGCTACAACTTGTGTCCCTCTGCGATTAGTCCCAGCCTCTTGGTGTTGTGTTCAGACATAGCAGCTGATCTGCTGCTCAGAGTAATCTCTGTGTTTTTAATCTCAGTGGGTACATAGCACGCATAGCAAAGCGTCTACTCGGATGATAAAGCTTCTGAATGGCTTAATTTATTCTTGATGCTACTTCTCTAAGAGTAGCTGTTGACTCTCTTGTGTGTCCCAGTGTGGCAGATAGCAAAAACTGAGGTTTTGAGGAGACTACCTGCCATCCTTCAAGGCAAGGTTTTACGCTCCTGGTGTCGCCCATAAATGAGGGTGCTGCCTCTCTGTGAACATCCTTAATTTGATAGCTGGTGGTTTGGAAGTATAGATTTTCCGAATCCAGCCCAAATGTGTGAACTTCCCAGAAATACCCCAGGGGGAGACCTGGTAGGTGGCGGTTGTGTAGTTAAAACACCTTGGTTGGCTTGCCCAGAGCAGACAGCAAACCTAGTAAGGGATTAATCTGTCTGAGAGGGATAGAAGTCTTTCAGCAGGCATGTCTTAATTCTGGAGTGAGGCAACTGGTGTGTTTGTTTGCAAAGGACTGTGCAGGTCCCTTCAAATCGAGGCATGCAGCAGGCTGTCTGAACTGAGAGCGCCTCCTTAGGAAAACTGGAAGGAGACTGGAATGCCACTAACTTGTCCCTTGCATCCTTTGTTTCCTCTCTCCATAGGAATGCATCCTCTCTGGGATCATGTCAGTGAATGGAAAGAAAGTCCTTCACATGGATCGTAACTCTTACTATGGAGGGGAAAGCGCATCCATTACGCCCCTGGAGGATGTAAGTACAGAGGCTGACACCCGCCTATTGTGTCCTCCCCGGGCGCATAAAGCGGGCTTTATTTTCAGCTATCCTAGGGGTGGATTCGAAGTAATTACTCTTAAGGGTTTCCTTTGAGTAACGTTTATGGCAGTGCCACACCAGATAATAGTGGGGGAGAAACCAGTGTGTATGTTTAGACTTGTTAGACTTGTTTTCTGTAGTTCCCAGCTGAGATTCAAGGACGAAGCATTTGAGCGAGCAGCATTTGAGTGATCGTTTGGAGGTGTAATGCCCCGACAGATGTTAAAACTCTTCAGCTCAATCATTACTGCGGAGCTTGGTGGCCAATGCTGGCCTAACGAATGCTGTGTGCTCTCTGTGCCTTGGCATTACGCTTGGTCCTTGCTCTGCAAGTGCTTCCAGCTAGATAGGTGCCATCTCATCTGGTTACTGCTTGTGCCCTGCGACTGTGTAGCCCCTAAAGCTGTTAGTGTAGCTGACTAATTAGATGTCAGGAAATCACTGCTCTCCTTGCTGCTTAACTGGGTTAAATACTTATATTGGGGAATCTGATTTAAGTATATGGAGGAGCCTGCCCTCTCCTGAAGCAGGCACTTTGATCAGATTACCTTTAGCAATGTTAAACAGTATT